GCAAGTGCTGGGACACCCACCAAAAGCTCCAAGCTCCCAAAAGGGGCCTCAGATCAGAACAGCCCTCTGACTTCAAACAGGAGGCTGGCGTCAGTTTTCATTCTCTCTCCTGCCCAGCACAGCAGTGGAGTGTGCCACCCCTGAGTGATTCTCCCTGGTTCTGGGCAGTGCCTCTCAATTCTGACCACACCTCAAAAACCCTGCGAGCTCTAACACACGGCCACTCCTGGGACTCCCCACACACACACACACTAATATAAAGCGTGTAAGGGGAGGGGCCTAGGGATCTACTAGTGCCCTAGACGTTGTTCATGAATGCTGGGTGTCAAAATCTCAGATGAATCACTCAGAACAGGCTTCACAGAATTGGGGACAGTCCATGTGAGATTTGAAAAAGCCTCCCAAGTCCATTATGGATCTCACTTCTCCCCCAAATTGGAAAACATCTGATTAAAATTAATGTGAGATGGATCCTATGACACCACCATAAATCTCACAAGCTTTGTCTTCATGTGACCAGTGGTTGGGGAGCTCTAAGTTTTCCAAAATAGTAGCTCTAAGTCTCTAAAAAAGCATTTTAAAATTGTTAGCACTATTAGAAGCCACATTCTCTCCTTGTGACCACAATAGAACCCTAGAAGATATAAAAAATTAAAATCTATAGAAAATGGCAGGTTATTTTTAGAACATTTCTATACTTTAGGAAAGTCTTCAGACTAAATACAGTATACAAACCAGCATGTGTTCAACACCCCAACCCCATTCCTGCCTGCAAACACTTTGCACACAGCCTTGCCAAGGGCCAGAAGAGTCGGCCAAGGGAAACATGTGCAGAGCGAAACAAGAAACCACATTCATGCTCTTCCATACTGACAATTAAACCACAGTTAGTAAATTACAAATTCGAAAATAGAGCTCCATCATGTAAGAGTTGCCTTAAAAAAACTTACATTTAGTGTAGTGGATAGTGTTGATTAGTTGCTTTGCATAGGTAGTAAGAGCATGCTTTCTGGGTTAGATGGAGGCCATGCAAAATTGTTCTTATTTCTTGGGGGAAATGACTGGTCATGCTCAAAGTGCAGCTGCAAAACACACATGGGGAGTTGACCAAAAGGCAGTGTGAGACACGGCTCTTCAATAAAATAAAAGCATAGAATTCACCAAAAAGAGACTCAATCAGGTTTAGCAATAATGCACCCTTCATGAAATTAAAGACAGACAGCCTGTGGTGACAACTAGCTTTTGTGTTTATGGTTAGGACAGGACACAGAAACTGGCTGGTCAGCAAATGTTGCTCTTTTCAATTCCGAATACAAAGTCCAACCCACCTCACAGAATATGTTTTATTGAAACTGTGCTTATCACTTGCATACTATCTCAAAATTCCAACGCAGAAACACTAATTATCTTTGCATCCAATAATTATAATAACCTCCACAGGAAACAGTAACTTCAGCTCTTCAGTAACTTTGTCAGAATAAAATGTAACATCAAATGTCAATCTACTTGAAAAACACGTTTATTTGAAACAAATGAGCTTTGTTCACAGCTCTTCTCTGCTCCATTTTCCCAAAGGCTGCACTACTGTCCTTTACACGTTGGTCCTGTTTTTCATGATAGTTATTTTAGAGGGATGATAATTTTCTCTCAACCCCCCTCCCCCACCTAATCCCCATATCCATCTCATACCAATGTGGATGACCAAATTTTCAACCCGCAAGTAGTAGCAACAGCTCAGTCTGAAAAAGTGGATGTAGAGAAAAATGTCTCTGGAGATGAAGAAGGGCACTTTTGGTTTCCAGACACACTTGCTCAAGAGGACCAGCAGCCTTGGCTGATTCGTCAGAACCCGTCCGCTCTTCTGTTCGAGAGGACTGTCACTCCACTTAGGACACAATCAGCATCCCCGGTCCATCAGCTGTGCTCCCAGGGCTCCTCAGCCACAGCAAATTCCTGAAGCCTGCAGTTTGCCTTTACAGGCAGAGCAGGCCCTCAACGAATGTTTGCAGAATGAACGAACGAACGAATGAACGAACAAACGATGACAGAATGATTACAAGAGCTGAGGGCAGCCTCACAGATAATTACAACATTTTACCATATCACAAATACTCTCACTTCTATACTATTGGTCCAGCATAGTATTACTTACTCTCAGTTAGGCTGCTTTTAGGGAGAGAAAATACAAAAGGGTGGGACATGGTCTTGACATGACATGAGCTAACAGTTCCCTTGTGCTTCCACATTCCAGAAGGGATTCAAGGCAAGGCACAGGGCTGTCGTAAGGAATGAGACAGCCTCTGCACTGGATGTTTACTGAAAAAGAATTCAAGAACAAAACTTTTTTGAAAGCAGACGAACATTATAGATGCAGGTCTACAGTTGGTGATTATTTGGTGCCTACCAGACAATGTATGCTCATGTCAGGCCCACCCACTGTCACCAGATACCCAGGCCTACCAGCCTTAGCAGGCAATTTTCAACCCCAAAATACACATATGCTCTGTGCCAAACATCACTGGGAAAATAAAAAACAAAACAAACACAAAGTCCCTAACCTACCAAAGAACTGAACTGAACCAAGTAACAAGTTCCCCTATTTTACACCTCAAAGGGCACCTCCAAACTTCTGGGCAAATATCCTTCTCAGTGGCTTAGTGTATACCTGGTAGTTAGGGATAAAAATTTTCATTGCTTAAAAAGCACAGGAATGTAATAGCTTAAAGATGCCTAGACAATGCCATAATACTTCCTGGTATTTTCCATTTAAACCTGAAACAAGGAATAAACTCCACAGACATACAATTTTATAGATACTTAAGTGTTATTTCTAGATCTCATGGAAAATTAAAGGAGTTGTAGTGTTTTTTTATTACACTAAACCAAATGGAAAATCCATTCCTGAAGAACTCAAGAATAAAAATATTTACCACTGTGAAAATTAAACTACTTTCTATCAATGCTTAACTGATCAGAGCCCCCAAAAAGATGTTAATAAACCTTATGTAGCCCAACCATAACTCTAAGGTTCTGCAGAGCTGCAGGATTCCCAACATGCTTTGCCTGTGAAAGAAAGATGAGGTTCAACTAGACAAGCACCAGACTGCTGACACTGGCCACCCGTCTGTGCTGCAGGAAACCAGCACCGGCTGACCAGGACCGGGCCATGGGAAGCAATGACCGTATCACAGGCAGTCTCATCACCATCGCAGACACCGGGACAGTGAGACAAGGACAGGACTGAGTGCAGTGGGCAAACAGACTGTGTTCATACATTTCACGGAGCACTACGGTAACATACACAAGGCTGAGTGAGTCTTGGATATCACAAGGGTCTAAAATTCCAGCTACCCTCAACAAAAATGGCCTCCAGACTTGTGAGTTACCTGCTAATGCTCAAATTAGCAGCAAAATAAAGTTAAGTAACTACTAGAAAATCTTCCCAAGAGGTATTCACGGAAAAAATAAAAAATAAAAAGGAAACCAAACCAAACAGAAGGCAGTGCAGAACTCACAGCTGTGCATGTGTCCGTGCTCAGCTAACTCACACACAGCAACACTGAGGGGTTAGAAACGGGTCTGTGCACCAGGAGTGCAGGGAGAACCTAAGAGCGTATACACATAGCATGCTACCTTTCATGGCAAAGTGACAAATGCTATTCAAACAGAATCAGAACTATCACTCTCTTGACATGTAGAGCAAGGAGGAAAAAACCTAAAACTTGCCAGGATACTCCAGAAAGCATGAAAAACCATGTGTCTTACTTATCTGGAGACTTTGGGGAGGGTCTCATTTTCCCACTAAGAAATGCAATTTGTACAGAGAATGCCAGAGGGAACGTGCTCCGGTCCTGCTGAGTTCTGGGTAAGAGATTAAATTTTAAGCACAAAGAAGAAAGTGAATTACTGAAAAGCAGTCACACTGAGCTGGACAGGCAGGATCGGAAGTGTGTGTAACTTTGTTCCACATCACTTCAACCATCACTGACTCCAGCCTCAGCCATTCTTTCCTCTCCATAACTGACACGATTTGGTGGAAACGTGGACTTGCGCTGGGACGTGGGGCTTTCAGTGTCGAACACAGAACAAAGCAGCAACAGAGGAGGAAGATGTCAGAGATCATACATGCAGTTGAGAATCCTTTTTTTTTTTCCAGGACTCTCAAAGGTGTTAACTGCTCTACTACATTTCAGACGCCCAATGGCCTTCACTAGCAAATTCAGAAGAAAAAAACTCACTACTAGTGACTGGTTTTCTGGACATCCAATTTGCCACCTCTTGGGACATATCCCAAGAGTCAAGACAGCTTATAGTGCACACATCTTTGCAGATATGAAAGCAGTGAAAGACCACTTCTACCTCTAAAAACGTCCATGTGTGGCATAGAAGTGACCGTCACTGACAGGCCACCTCTTCACTGACACCCAATCCTTCCGAGACTAGCTGAGCATATACCTGAGAAACATTAGTTTTAAAATATTGCCCTTTACAAAGACTGGTGGGTGGGGCCAAAGTGCAGAAAGCAACCATTTATCTCGGTTTGTTTCACTGTTAATGTCACCGTTTTTTAGAACTCCTGGTGTCACATGACAGTCCCCAGCGAGGACAAGTCCTGCTCAGCTGAAACCCACGTCATATAGTTCGTCCTTCCACAGAACACAGTAATGACAGCTTAACTGGTTCCCAGGTCCCACACCCTAGTGTCCAACAAGGCATTAGAGTTCTCCAGAAAGAAATGTGTACAACTGCTGAAGGGGCTGTCCAGGGTATCGTCTGCAATTTTCCAGTTAGCTCAGTATCGATGCTTTGCCTATGGCTGTTATTTGGTTCAATGGCAGAATAAGGCGACGCTTTTAACAATTTGCAATTGAATTCTGCACGCGCACACACGCACACACACGCACACACACGCACACACACGCACACACACACAAAAGCTCGTACATCAGGCACATGACCCAAAAAATACAAAACGAAAGCATAGAGGGCTTTGGTGGAAGGGAAGGGGTTCTAAATAAATAAACACCTTTACAGGTCAACACTGGGAGTGCAGCGGTGTCACTGAGGTTTCTGAGAAGGCCGTGCAGAAGCTGGCATGCTCGAAGGTAGCTTTTGGGAAGGTTTCTCAGTGGTCTGCCTGCCACCAGGAGATGAGGGCGTGCCAGAGTCTAGCTGGGAAGACTTGGATTTGCGACTGGACAGCAGGGAATGTCTAGAAGAAGCAGGGTCCTTGGAGACGAGCTGCTCTTTTCCAACTGAACTGGCCTTTGGATGCTGGGAACCTGGAGGATGGTGCCCTCCCTCTGCCTGGTCGTCCCCAGCACTCCTACAGACCGCCTTGACAGAGCTCCCACCTGCCTTCTTCGAGAGCAAGGCCGTCTTGCCAAGGTCAGTGGACCGCCGAGTTTCCTTCTGTCTCAAGGCTGACTTGAAGAAGGACAGCCCCTTCTCGTCCGACTTGCTGTCCCTCTTCAGACCAGACTTCGTGCTCGTGCTGGGGGAGCGCAGGCTGGCCATGGAGGAGCTCCTGATGTGCTGCTTCCCATCGCCCCGGCCCTCCCCAGCCCGGGCCTGGCTCACCCGAGGGGAGTTGGGTTTGGAGCTGGAGGCGACACTGGCTCGGTCAGAAACCAGGCTTTGTCTGGAGCCCTCTCTACTTAAGCCCCTATCTGAAGTCCTGCCCTTCCCAAGTGGGACCGGGCCCCTCGTGGCAGGGCCCGAGGCTTTTTTGGCAGGTATGGAGGAAGCAGTGCAAGGGAGAGAAGAAGCTGACTTTGGCTTCTGGGGTGAAGGAGAGGCCACAGAGTCCTGGGCTCTGGGGGAGGGCTCCTTTCTGGGAGGGGCAGGGGCCCTGGCAGAATCCGCCTTGCTTCGGGAGCGAGAGGGCTTCACAGAAATTTTGACAGGAACAGGAGAGGAAGGGGAGGTACTGGACTGAGATGACTCCCGGCTTGCCAACACTGACCTCCCCTTCCGCAGGCTTCTATCGGGCTCAGAAGCGCCTTTGGAGCTGGGGGGGCTCTTGGTTGTGCTGTCTGGTTTCTTTGTGAGGGAGCCTGGGTGGCTCGGGGGTTTCACCTCTTTGACGGGAGAGCTGTCTACAGAATCACTCTGATCCACATAAGCTATCTGGTTATTGTTATCAAATGGATCAGAGATGGGGGGTAAGTGAGCCCCTTGTACTGAGTGTTTGCTCTGTGCATCTACCACACCGGAGTTCAATCTGCGGGTGTCTGACTCATCTCTGAACATGCCTTCCATGACAGCCAGAGGGGCCCGGCCCACAGCCTTGTGCTCCCGTCGACTGGGACCATCGCCTGGTTCCTGGTGACTGCTAGAAAGGTTCCTCAAGCTACCAAAGCAAGAGATGGAGACCTTGTCATCCACTGCCTCCCCGATCTTCTCCAAGGTGGAGGCAGAGGTGTGAATTGGAGAGTCCCCTGAGAACCGGGAAGGAGAGCTGGAGCGCATCTGCAGCTTAGCAGACAGGGACCAAGAAGGTCTGATGCAATTTTCATTGACAGCCAAGGGGCTGGTGACAGAAGACCTGGATGACAAGCTCTGACGTTGGACACTTCTCACGAATGGTCGAGTTGAGAAACCTCCTGAATGCAGCAAAGAGAATATCGTTAAGCTAAACAGAAAACAGCCCTAGTAGCATCTCATGATGAAAAGAAAGCAAGCCTCCTGGAATGACAGGAGCCCAACCCTCAGAGCCAGCATGTCTGGGGCCAAGGAGCAGCCATGGACGTCACCTTTTCTGAGCCCAGTTCCCTCCCTTATCTATAAAATAGGGACTTTCTAACTCAGGAATCGGCAAACTATCTCTTTACCTTCCTGCTCTACACCAGGAGTCAGCATAGTTTTCCTGTACAGGCCCAGACAGTAAATATTCTAGGATTTGTGGGCCATCACATGAAAGCAGCCATACACAAATGGGCATGGCTGTGTTCCAATAAAGTTTTATTTAAAATAAAGGTAGGGACTACATTTGGCCTAGGGGCTGTAGTTTGTTGACCCCTGTTGTAACCCCCAGGGCTACAATGAGAATTAAATAAAATATTTAAAAATCCTGTGCCCGCCCTGGCCAGTTTGGCTCAGCGGTTAGAGCGTCGGCCTGTGGTCCAGAGAGACCCGGGTTCGGTTCCCGCTAAGGGCATGTACCTCGGATGCAGTTTGTCCCCGGCCCTGGTTGGTCGTGTGGGTGGCAGCCACTCGATGTGTCCCTTCACATCGATGTCTCTCTCTCTCTCTCTCTTCCTCTCTCTCCTTCCCGCTCTAGCTGAACAAAAAATGGAAAAATGTCCTCGGGTGAGGATAAAAAAAAAAAAAAAATCCTGTGCCCAGTAAGGCACCTGGCATTCCACTGATGCTCAATAAATGTGAGCTATTGATCCAGCTTCTTCAACTTACTCAGGACATCTGGGGCTCGCAGAAGGAAGTCTCTGCCCAAGATGATACGAATAATCAGAAGCAGAGCAAACACCAGATCCACAGCCCTAGCCCCACACTCAATGCACATGCAGTGTCACTGTTGACTATAAGAGCAGATCCATGCAAAGGACTAAAGAAACAATGTATTCCTATCCTGAGCGACTTAAAACTTCCAAAGAAAATATTCCACATTGAATTCTATACACACTTGCTACTGTAGCTGTGGAATCTGTCAAAGTCTGTCTGGAGGAGATCCTAGGAGACAGGCCCCGTCTTGTGGGCACCACCACCACTGGAAGATAATGACACTTGAGAGGGTACTGATTCTCCAACCACACTGGTTAAAAATAGATCCGGGCAAACCACATCTAGACTTACTGTTAAAGTGACAATGAAGTCTACGTTTAAAGGCTGCGTTGAAAATAACCTCTACCTGAACAAGCCAAGACTCACTGGCCAGTTTTTCATATCATGTCAGGAGCTGCACAGGAGCTTGGCAATCACAGCCCAGCACTCTCACAAATGGGGAAGCAACACGCCAGAGCTGGGGGAGCTGATGCGGTGCAGCACACCTCCGATCTGGCACAGCTCTCCCAGCCTCCTGCCTTTCCTCCATTCCATGTTCTCAGAATTACCCATCACCACTAGAAACTGACCACAGCCATCGAAGCGCTGGCCGCAGAGTGAGGCTTGCTGGAAGGTGAGTCACCGTGCTCGTTCTGGAAGCTGAGCTCACCCTCTCCTGCTCCAGCTGTCGGAGTGCTGGCTGCCTGATCGCTCCCACACCACCCGGGGTCCCTGTTGGGACTAAGGGCCCTGCTGCCACTACTCAAGTGGTAAGTGAAGGTAAAACAGAGCAGTTCAATTTTTATCAGATTTCCAAAGTTTTTATAATGTGCTTATTTTCAGAATTCCCAAAAACTATCTCCAGCAGAGGCAAGTTTTTGTTCTAGACACTCCTGTACCAAAAGGAACATGCCACAGACTCCTCTCAGGGAAGCAGCGTGAGAAGGTGAGAAGTTGAGCAGGCCGGGGACTCCCTGCCAGGCCCTGCACGGCAATCTGTCCCCAGGTGGCCCCGGACAAGTCACAACTGCACTGAGTCCCCTTACAGCTACTCTGAAGATTTTAAAAAGCTCTTTGAAAAAAAAGTATTCATTATTGTACAGAATTAAGGCTCCGGCCTCCAAACTCCAAGCCTTCAAGTCAAAAATGATGAAAGAGAAGAAAGAAGTCCTAGGTCAGAGAGAAAAAGCAAACACCCAGTTCACATCACACGTACTGGTAGTCAGAACACTATGCAGCGCGACCCACAACCTTCTTGGGACTTGGTTCCTACGCATTAGGGACCTGCGCTGTCTGTGAGTTGCCTCTTAGAAGTATATCACCAAAACACACACTCACCATCATCTTCACTCCTTTCCCCGGTCATCTCCACGGACTCGGACAGCGAGGCCAGGGAGGTGCGTCTGGAGGAAGCTGCCGAGGTGGCGCTGGCGGGCTTGCTCCCAGGGAGCCGGCTCACCCAGTGCTCGCACAGGGAGGAACTCGTGGAGCCTGCAGAGAAGGGAGGGGGCGCCGCGGTCAGGCCAGGGCCCGGCTGGCCTACACAGCACACACCCCCATGCAGGTGCTGCCAGAGCTGGAGGCAGCTGATGTCCTCACTGCCAGGTGAGCAGGAACTCCCAGACCCCAGCGTGCCTGCTTCGAAGCCCCTGCTGAGACGAAAAGGAAGGACAGCAGACTCCCACCCACGTCTGCAGTATAAAATGCAAGTGTCAAGGGCTGGCTATAGAACAGAACATAGACAATCACTCATATTCATCCCTTTTACAAATATTTATTAAGCACTACACATCAGTACTGTTCCGAGTACCTGCCATAATATTTGACACACAGGAAAAAAAAAAAAGAGCCGCAGGGCCCTATTAATTTCTTAGCCTCACTGTTGAATTTCAAAATCATTTTCACAGCCTGGCCAGTGAGGCTCAGTGGTTGAGTGTTGACCCATGCATCAAGAGGTCACCAGCTCCATTCCCAGTCAGGACACATGCCCAGGTTGTGGGCCCAATCTCCAGTGGTGGGCATGCAGGAGGTGGCCAATCGATGTTCTCTCTCATCGATGTTTCTCTCTCTCTCTCCCCCTCTCCTTTCCTCTCTCTCTAAAAATCAGTAAAGAAAAAAAATTTTTTTTAATGTTTAAAATCATTTTCACAATATTAATATACACAAACATAGGGCTTTATGTCAACCTGTTCTGTCTGTCCCAAGGATGCCCTTAAATATATATTAGAGTAACAGCAATTGCTCTTGAAATTGAGAACATGAAGCAACATGACAGTCTCAAGTTGCCCTCAAGAGGGTGTCATGTATGAGCACATATCAGACTCTGGGAAGCACTGGGAACAGGCTTTAGAGCACTGGGGTTTCCATTTCTGTTAACAAAGTGAGTGGCAGACAGATAGGTACAATGGGAGGGAGTGGGTCTGACTCCAGCAGGGGTCACTCTGCTCCAGAAAGACCTCCTTTCAGCAGCTTCTAACTTAGCCCTCACAAGCCTCAAGGAGAGCAGGGGTTAATACTCCCTAACCTGAGCACATTCCCACACCCCAGTCTTGTCATGTGCTCTTAAACTCAAACCCTGCACTGTGAAGCATGCACTCCTTATTTAGATTGCATGTGGCGCCCTGGCAGGTTTGGCTCAGCAATTAGAGCATCAGCTTCGGGTCAAGGGCATGTACCTCGGCTCGGTTGTGGTTCGTCCCCGGCCCTGATTAGGTCTTTCAGGAGGCAACCAGTTGATGTGTCTCACATCAATGTTTCTCTCTCACTCCCCTCCCCTCTTCCCTCCTACTCTATCTGATGATAAATAGAAAAATATCCTTGGGTGAGGACTAAAAAATAAAATAGATTGCATGGGGCTGAACCCACATCAAGTGTGGGCATTGATTCCTGCACTTATTAAAACAACAGACTAACAGACTAGACCCATCAAGGTAAACTCAAGCCATCTAATATTATCACAGCCTTCAATTCTCCCATAACAGAATAGGCCGATCTTACGGAGGTGGGGAGGCTATTTCTAACCACGCTTTCCCCTTTACAAAAGGCTTTAAGGTACATTTGCCTAAACTGATGCATACAATGACCCCAAGAGGCAGGCAGTGTTATTACACCAGAATTACAGACGATAATATGTGCGTTGGATGGGACATGCTCCAAGGTAACCCAACCAAAATATGGCAAAGCCAAGTCTCCTTTGTATTTCCAAATCCCTCATTCCCTCTACTTTCAGAGTATGTGCCATGCTATATTTTAGCTCTTTTATCCCACAAGTGAATCTCCCAGGCACTAGTCCACCTCCCTGGAAACTCTGCTGGTTCATAGCTGCTCACACACACCATCACCATTTCCTTAACTGCAATCATTCTGGTTTCAAGATTAAATGCAAATGTGAGGGGTAATTTCCAAAATATATGGAGTACTCATACAACTCAACAAAAGGAAGACAAAGAACCCAATTTAAAAATGGTCAGAAGCCCTGGCCAGTTTGGCTCAGCGGTTAGAGCGTCAGCCTGCGGTCCTGAGAGGCCCGGGTTTGGTTCCCGCTAAGGGCACGTACCTCGGTTGCAGTTTGTCCCCGGCCCTTGTCGGTTGTGCGGGTGGCAGCCACTCGATGTGTCCCTTCACATCGATGTTTCTCTCTCTCTGTTCCTCCCTCTCTCTCTCTCCCACTCTACCTGAACAAAAAATGGAAAAATGTCCTCGGGTGAGGATAAAAAAAAAAAAAATGGTCAGAAAACCCAAATAGCCACCTCTCCAAACAGGACATACAAATGGCCAAGAGACATGAAAAAATGCTCAACTTCACTAATCATCAGAGAGATGTAAATTAAAACGACCAAGGGGTTATCACCTCACACCTGCCAGAATGGCTGCCATCAACAAATCATCAAACAAGTGTTGGCAAGGGTGTGGAGAAATGGGGACCCTAGTACACTGCTGATGGGAATACAGACTGGTGCAGCCACTATGAAAAACAATATTTCCTCAAAAAATTAAAAATTGAACTGCCATTTGACCTAGTGATCCCACTTCTAGGAATATACCCTAGGAAGCCTGAAACACTCATCAGAAAGAATATACGTACCCCCATATTCATAGCAGCACTACTTACAATCGCTAAGATCTGGAAACAGCCCAAGTGTCCATCAGTAGATGAGTAGATAAAAAAGTTGTGGTACATGTACACAATGGACTACTATGCAGCTGTAAGAAAGATCTCTTATCTTTTGAGACGACATGGAGGGACCTTCAGAATATTATGCTAAGCAAAATAAGCCAGTCAGAGAAAGACAAGTATTACATAATCTCAATTATTTGTGGAATATAATGAATAAAGTAAGGTGATGAACAAAATAGACCCAGAGACATAGAAGTAGGGTTCAGACTGACAAACTTCACAGGAGGGGGCGGGGGAGAGGAAAGAGATAAACCAAAGAACTTATGCATATAAGGATAACCAATGGACACAGACGACAGATTCTGGAGAATTTCTCTAGACCACTAATAACAATCTTCTGTTCTAGAAAAAGCTGCCTAGGAACAGGGTCGACCTTACCTGCCACTGAGCTGTTGGCTGACCATGACGGTATTGCAGTCCGCCTCTGATAGAAGAGGATGTAGGCCGTCTGTGTGCAGACCTCATCTTCCGACAGCTGCTGCACCTCACTGTCATCAAAGCAATACCAGAGCCCGTCCACGGAGTTCTTACAGTAGGCTGGCAAAGAGAGTCACCGTTAGCACCGGGGCAGCTGCACTGGCTGGGCCCCTCTACCCACAGAGACCATTTCTTTGGCTCATATAAATAGCTCAAGACCTTTATAAGGCTGCATGTAGTAACAGAGAAAGAGCAAAAACCCAAATTCCATATCACACTCAGGCAAAATGTTTCAAGAAATTCTGAATGGATAAAGTTCTTTTTAATCTTAGGAAACACAATATAATTATTTAGTTAAACTAGTGTATCTCAACCAAGGACAAGTCTACCCCCGGGGGACACTGGAAAAGTCTGAAGACATTCTGGCTGTCACAACCTAGGGGTGAAGGTGTTACTGGCATCTAGTGGGCAGAGGTCAGCGATGCTGCTAAACATCCTACAATGCCCAGGACGGGCTCTCACATGTGGAATTGTCCGCCCGGACTGACAGCACTGCCGGGGCTGAGAAACCCTGATTAAGCATGTTGGAACAGCCTGGTATTTATTAGATACGGAGAATAACAGAACTAGAAATGATAATATTAATGGATAACAGCGGCAGCTACCATTTGTTTAGCACTTATATGTGCCAAACATGGCACTTAATCCTATGAGATCGGTTCTGCAATGATTCCCATTTTACAGTGGCTCAAAAAGATTAACCAGCTCACCCAAGGTCATGCCACTGGTGAAGGACAGGGCCCAGCTCATTTCAGAATTATCTAGTCCCCTGCCCGACCCTGCTTCCCTTTGGGATAGCACAAACAACGCCCATGGAAGGTCCCTGGCAAACGAAGAACATTTGAGCTCACGCATGCGTGTGGCCTTCTCGCCAGTTCTAAGTCTGGGATAGAAATAAAGAGCATTCAAACACCACAGGAATGGACAATTTAGTGCTTATATCATCCTGTATGGATATCAAGGGGTGTGATGAACTTGATCCAGAAAAGCACATTCCTACCACACTTTCTAAAAACACCTACTTATTGCGGTGGGAGTAAAGAAGTGCTACAATATTTAGCTGACCACTGAAACGGACTTAGTATGGCTCCAGGGCAGGGCACACAAGGTCCTGAGAGAGGCACCAGGAGTGACTTCTTCAATAGGCTACAACCACTTTTGCAAGCATTGAACCCAAAGAGATGAAGGGAACCCAGGTGAGAAAGGGCTACAGCAGACAGGTCCAGAAAAAGAAGAGGAGAGTGAGAATCTTCCCTCCTGCTTGTAGGGAAGGAAGTCATGCACAGCTTGGACTCTCTGGAAGCAGAAGGGAGAGAAATGATGCTATAAGCAGCAAATGGGGCCAGGGAAATGGCAGTGGGCTGGTCAGTGGCTGCTCTTCTGGAGTGGGAGTGGGGTTGTAAGGGGACACGCCCAAGGGAAGGTGACAGAGAAACCTTGCACTAGCTTCAGTCTGCTTCCTTCAGATGGTCTGTCCCCAGCCACAGTGTGAAAAGGAGCGCGGTAATTCATTAATGGGTAAAGGATGCATTTAAACAATTTTTAAATGTTTTTATTGATTCTTTAGAGAGATAGAAACATCGATGTGAGAGAGAAACATAGATTGGCTGCCTCCTGCACGCCCCTTATTGGGGATCGAGCCTGCAACCCCAGGCATGTGCCCTGACCGGGAATCGAACCAGGACCTCTCAGTCCATGGGACAATGCTCAATCCACTGAGCCACACAGGCCGGGCACATTATAAAATAATGTTATCTGCTTTTCTTTCTAGCACTATTACTAAAGTGTTTTCTAGACCAGCGCTACTCAAATTGTGGTTTGCAGGCTGTGGCATTCCACAAGAGAAACACCAAAAGTGAGAAAAGCACTGGAAAACTTATAGCAATGTGACACTACCATGATATTCTATTTACATTTTTGCAAAAGTATTGGTTCAAGAAAGACTGGAAATTTTCAAAAAAAAAATAAATAAACAGGTTCTTCATCACAGACACTTTGAGAAAGCACTGTTTTAGAATCCTTACATGAGTTAGCCATACATGTACCATGTGATTATAGGTATAGCCAGTGCAAAATAAAGACATTACAGTAAACATTCCAAATGAAAACTTACACACAAGGTGTCCTTAATTCAACAATGCTGAGATATTTAAAGTGTTCTCCAATCTAAGACCAGACAAGCAGTGGCATGGCCTCAGCATGGAAAGGGGAAGAATGTAAAAGGTATCTGAGCTCCTCTTAAGATAAAAAAATTCTGGACATGGATGATGCATAAAGTTGTGACTGTACTTAATGCCACTGAACCATACAGTCGAGAATGGTTAAAATGGCCTGGCCAGTATTGCTCAGTGGTTAGCATTGACCCATGCACCAAGAGGTCACTGGTTCAATTCCCAGTCAGGGCACATGCCGAGGTTGTGGGCCCGATCCCTAGTGGGGGGCATGCAGGAGGCGGCCAATCGATGTTCTCTCTCATTGATGTTTCTCTCTCTCTCTCCCTCTCACTTCCTCTCTCTCTAAAATCAATCAAGAAAAAAAAATAATAATGAACAAAAGACTTAAAAAAAAAGTTTAAAAAGAATGATTAAAATGGCTCTGGCCAGTGTTGCCCAGTGGTTAGAGCATCGGCCCACAGACCAAAGGGTCACAGGTTCGATTCCCAGTCAAGGGCACATACCTGGGTTGCAGATTCGATCCCCAGCCCTCGTAGGGGTGCGTGCAGGAGGCAACCAATTGATGTGTCTCTCTCCCATAGATGTTTCTCTCAAGCCCCCCCTTTCCGCCCCCCCACCTCCTTCCCTTCCACTCTCTCTAAAAGTCAATGGAAAAAATATTCTTGGGTGAAGATTTTTTAAAAAATGGTTAAAATGGTATATTTTATGTGTACTTTATCATAATTTTAAAAACTGTTACCAGTGGTTTTTGACTGATAAGCTCATGGATGATGGAATTGTTCTTTCTCCCTCTCTCAAGTCTCTAAATTTCATGATGAACATAGTTACTTTAAAGATAGAGAGTAAATGTAACCTGATACAGAAAGAAAAACCTTTCCAAATCACTTTAAAGACATTACAAAGGTGCTTCACAGTCGCTCCAAATCAGGAAGTAGAGCGAAACTGTGAGTGGGGAGTGTGGACAGGGGAGCACAGAGCCCAGGGGGCCGACAGTGCTATCCATCTGCACACCCCAGCCAGCCAGACACCACCGACGGGCCCACTCAGGAAAAGAACTTTCGCTCGTTTGCTCTTGGATGAAGATCCAGAGGACAAAAACTGCCCTCACAGTTGGCACACTGGCTTCTGAAAGGGCAGTGAGGCTCTAAGGCCAAGTGACCCTGTCACAAGCAAACACGCCTGAGGAATCGTCCGCACAGACACCCAGCCTCTCGCACTGCAGACCTGTGTAGTGCCCCCCTTGCATGGTGCCATGATGATTGCACACAGCATACAGGTCATAGATGTAGTCCTCAGGGTCCCTCCCGAGTCCATAAGGTCGTCGCCATGGAGACCAATGGGATGGCAAACTCCAGCTGCTCTGGCTTCTCTTAACCACATGAGGTGTCATGTCCAGGCCAGTCAAGGGAAACTTGACCATGTTCTGAAGTTTCATACGCCTGTCTCCTTCCTGTCACAAGAAGAAAAACAAGTCCTGATGATATTTTCATGCAAACAAAGCTGAATGGGTTCAGTGTGGAATGTGAACTCTAGCAGCTGAAGGGGCTTGAGTTTCTTTCCCTGAGTGATGTTTTCCAAGACACACACAATATACAGACACGAACTAACAGTCTGGACTGTCTGGAGGAACAGGTTTTAAGATCACTAAAGTGGAACCAGCAATGCCCTACACTCAAGGGGCAATGAGCCTCCCTGAGTCTCCATTTCTTCTCTGATAACGGACTTTCAGGTTTTTGACTCACCAACTGACCATTTCGGGTGGTTCGTCCTGATACCTGTCACAGAGGCATGAGGGTAATGGAGTAATGACATATGAGGACAAGCACAGTGCCCGGCATAGAGCGGCCACTCAGTGAGCAGTGCCCCTTCTTACCCACCCCTCCGGCAGTGGCATGAAAAGTTAACCCTCCTTTAGCTTAATACATTCATTTAAGTGACAATCCTGGGTAGTCTATATTTTCCAGAAGTCTACAGGGAAATCCTGTGGAATACAACTGTCAGATGAATGTTTCCCATGTCTGTAGGAGCTTTAAAAAATGAATCGGGCATGGATAGTGGCTACCCCAAGAAGATATAGATCTATTAAGGGAAGAAATATTTTCATAAGACAAAGGCAGGACGGGTCCTGGTGTTCAGGAAGGCCAGGCTCAAGAATTTGGACTTTGCTCTTAGTCAAGGGGGAAGTACTGAGGCTCTGAGGCGGTGACGTCATCAGAGCTGTGGGTGAAGAACTGTGTACGTAAATGCATAAAACATGGCAGAAAAAGTCATCTAGGTTAAGAAGTCAGTTAAAAGACACTGAAACTGCAACAGCTGGAAAGTATGAAAACTGAACTGGCAGCGGGACAGCAGGAACAAGGAGAGGGGGACACATACAGGAGGCACCGGAGAGGCAGAACCAAGCAGAAGAGGTGACTGCCCAGGTGAGAGGGACAAGAAAGGAGAGTCAAAGATGCCCTTGCAGTTTTTAGTCCAGGGTTCTGGAAGAGTGATGATATGCCTTCAAAAGAAACAGAAAGCAAAATAAATGAGGCTGTGTGTGTAGAAGGAGACAGAGAAGGCTGGGGTCCCAACCCTCAATCAGCTACCCACTTGCAGATCCCAATGGGAGTGTGCAGCTGGGACACAGCTGGTCCCCAACCTCTATGTGAATGCCCAGCCCTGGAACCATGGCATGTCCACTTCATCAGCAAGCCTTAGCATCTCTTAAACCTCTGCAGGTCTCTCTAGCTCCTCTGCCACAACTGCAGTCCAGGCCATCAGCATCCCTCCCCCACCCCTATGATTGCAATGGCCCCTTCAGATCTGCTATCTTCATTCTGGTCGCTTCTAATTCTCCACACTGCAACCCGAATACTCTCTTCAAAACATAAATGTAGTGCTGTTGCTTCTCAGCTTAAATCCATCATCAGACTCCCACTGTGCCTGCAAGGCTGTGTGTGCACAACCCATCCCTCCCCGCGCCATCTACCTCCACTCACACCGTTCTCTCCAGCTCTCTGGTGCTCCAGCCAAACTGGCTGCTGCTGGCCTCTTTCGCAGGCCACACGCCTCAGGCCGCAGGGCTTTCACACCCCACTCCCACTAAATGCCAACCCCAATCTCAGATACAAAACGTCCTAAAGCAAGGCCTCAGAGACCCCTCTACCCTTTACCTCCCACTTAGCCCTCTTACAATGGGGCTGTCCAGGACCACCGTCACCTCAGGGAACAGACAGCTATTTTGGAAAAATGGACTGACTCACAGAGCAATATAACTCAAAGCAGACTTTCTTTTACATGTTTCTGATTCATTTCCCCAACTGTACAACCGCTCCTTGGGAGCAGGACGACACCCATTATTACTTTAGGAAGAAACATAATTCTACCTGCCCCCCAAAAAGGAGCTCTACTTTTTTTTCTTAATCCAAAGTAACTGACCAAAATTTAAGCACAGTATTTACAAATACAAAGCAAATGTTCAAGAACAAAGTAAAACATCCACAGTATGAACTGAAATGAGTAGGGTTAAAGGGTCACAGGACACTCTAATTCTGCTTGGAAAGAACAAAGGGTGACGCCCAACAAGGGGCAGATGTGTGTCTGTAACACTCCGACAGGAGTGCAGGATCAAACAGAGACACCAGAGAACTCCACCCAGCCCAGGTGGTCACAGCTCTGTCCTTACCTGTCGAAACCTCTTCAGGTGTATGATGAGCACATCGGGCAGGGTCCAGAGGCTCAGCGTGATGCTCCCCTGCTGCAGCTGCTTGCAGTGCGGGCAGCGCCAGGCGTCGTCGGGGGCCAGCTGAAAGCGAGCAGGACTGTGTTAAGCACTCCTCGGGGCAAGGCTCTCTGACAGAGACACCTGGACTCTTCTCGGGCAGTGCCTGGGGCAACTCGGAATCTCTCCAGAAACTGCACATGATGGGACTCAACGGAAAAACATCATCGAAAGTGGCACCCAAACATTTGCAGAAAGTAACAATGACTGTCTAGAGGAATGACCCTGAAGCACCTCAAACTCAGCATAATCCCAAACTCATCACCTTTCCACCAACAGAGACCCCTTTCTCCTCCTGTCCTGTCTCAGCGAACCAGGCATACCCAGCACAGGCAGACCCTGGGAGTCATCACAAACCCTCAAACGCCTCCATCTTCTTCCCGCTCCTTGTCCACCCAAACTCGTTCTCTCTGCCATCTCTCGTCCTGGCTCCTCCTTCTAACCCTGACTACCACCACCTGAGTTCAAAGTCCTCACTCATTTTTTTTCCTCGATGGTCCCCAATCTAACTGTCCTCTCTGCCCCAGCACTGAATTGCTCCAAACTATCATCCCCTTCTGCTACCGACACAATCTTTTAAAATATCACCTACATCTACAGGTGTCATCTCTGCAGGTCAGGGATTCTGGATGGGGTTAGGTTGTAGATACTAACAGGGGACTGATTCTTATCTGCTTTGGAAATCAGAAGCTGCATCAGATCTGCGACCATATCACAGTGAGGTAAGGGAGGCCACAGGAAGGACTGGAAGGCCAAGACCACTGAGATGGAAGAGAAAGATGCCACGGACAGAACCGTGGGAATGCCTATTTTCAAGGGAAGCACAACAGTTTGGAAACCAGCAGAGCCTGAGGACAAGAGTCAGAAAACCAGGGACATCAGAAGTACTTCCTTCCACGCACACCAAAACCAGAGCAGTGAGGACGGAGGGTTGCCGACACCAACCCTGCGGAGAGGCCAAGCATAGACTGAGCTGCAAGAGCAGAGTGAGGAGTATGATCAGACAGACCAGGGCTTTGGGAGGAGAGAGGAAAGCACTGGGACCACTAATGGTGAAGTCAGGCAGAAAGGAGGAGGAGAAAAACAAGCATGGACACCTAAAAGGGTGCAGAACTGAGGGAGATTTTTTCATGACAGGGAGACCCAATCATATTTGCAGGAAAAGTTTGGGTGGGTGCAAGTGAACCAGAAAGTTAGACTGGAGGGGACTTAACCTGCCATCTGGTAAGTCCACATCTGTGTGACACAGTGACAGTCCACACACATGCAGCCAGTCCAGCGCATGTGGTAAAGGGGCACGCTGTTTATTTGCCAATACATTACAAACAACACTTCCGTAAGATACATTAAGAATGTCGTGACAACGTCTAGTAACTACCAGTCTAAAACACCTCTCTGATCCCCGTACTCATCTAGCTGTAAACTGCTACAAGAACTCCGCGCCCTGCAGACCGCACTGGGCCCGCCAGTCTAGCTCCCTACTGCACACACGAAGCGGGGCTAGCTCAGCAGGCAGCTGCTCCTGTTCCAGACAATCCATTACAAAGTTCTTCCCTGTGTGAAGACAGAATCATTTTCCCTATAATTTCCAATCTTTAAGTTCTGCTTTTTAGATAAAATTAAGTCCACCCTCTCCTCCCCAGGATGGTCCTTGAACTGCCTGAGTCCTTCAGCCATGTCATGATTTCCAGATGTGCCATTCCTATCCATTCTCTCTGGTTGTGCCCAGTTTGCCACGGTCTTAACAGGGAACATTTAAGGTAATGAAAAGAGTGGTGACCTCCCTCTCTGAATTCTGGACAATTTCTAAAGCAATCTTAAGGTGGCCAACAGTGGCTAATGCCCACATGACACTGCTGAGCAATACTGAGCATGCAGGCAACCACCCCCAAAGTGATTGTCACACAGCCTCCTGCCAGCCAAGTCACACCTCCTCCTCTCCTGTATTTGTAGTTATTTTTTAATGCAATGCCTGAACTCCCTACGTAACTCTCATTTATTCCATCACTCCAGCACACACGTACCGAATGCTTTCTATGAGCTGGGCTCCACGGCAGATACTAAAGATCATTCAGAGACCAGCACAGAGTCTCTAATCTCCCTCCCCTGCCCATGCTACAGTTACACTGGCTTCGTTTCTGTTTCTCAGCCTTGCCAGTTCCTGCCTATCCCATGACGTCTGCTTCCTTTACTTCCTTGTTTGAGGGCAGAAATGCTGTCTGTCTTGGTCCAGCCAAATCCCCAGGATCTAGTGCAGGACCTAGCACACGGTATGGACTCAATAAACATTTACCGAATGAATGAATCCCTACCAAAATGGCTCCTGCTAGCTTGAATTCATCCTTCTAAATCAGTGAGAGGTTCTGTAGAATACCAGTGTTGTCATCTAGTAGGTTTGCTCACCTCTAAGGTTTGTGCCATTCTCAAACATCTCCCAAATCAATTAAAAAAAAAACTAAATAGGATAAGGTGCTACACCGAGCATGCAATCAACAGGTTCCAAAGCCAATTAACTATTTTATATAAGCTCCAAACTGAAAAACGATTTCTTATGAAACCTATTATTAAAGGAACTAGCAAGCAAAATAAGCCAATCAGAGAAAGACAAATATCACATGATTTCACTTATTTGTGGAATATAATGAACAACAGAAGCTGATGAACAAAACAGACCCAGAGACATAGAAGTAGGGTTCAGACTGACGAACCTCAGAAGAGGGGGATGGGTGGTGGGATTGGGAGAAGGATGTCAATGGGAGAAGAAGGAGAAACATCTGTAACAAAAATAAATTAATTAAAAAACATAAAGACTAGAAATTGCAAAGTGGAAAAAAAAAGGAACTAGCTATGAACTTGGTGGAAAAAAATCTCAAGTGGGAAGATGAAAACATTTCAAATATTTAAAGGATAGATAAATATTTGTCCTCAACTGTCCTTAATGAACTCGAGAGAGAGAACACATGTGGTCACAGACCTGGGTACCTATTTCAGGCTGACTTCAGTCGCATCAGAGATAGCCAAAGAGGAAATGGCACGTCTCCTATGTAGGCTAACACCTCAACTCAAAGTATATAAACAGGGGCTGACCAGACACCTATATCTAAAATTTGATAGAACCAACCATCAGAGAAAAAGGAACTTTCAAGAACTCTCTTACCTGAAACTGCATAACTCCCTATGTATTTAGAGAGAGCAGTAACAATCAGTAGTCAAAACACTGATCCTACCCTGACCAGGTAGCTCAGTTGGTTAGAGTATCTTCCCAATACACCAATGTTGCAGCTTCAATCCCCAATCAGGGCACATATAAGAATCAACCAATGAATGCATAAGTAAGTGGACAACAAATCAACATTCCCCTCCAACCACCTCATCAATTTTTTAAAAATATGATCCTAAACATCAACTCCAGATGAACTCCAAGTATCCTAGTCAAGGTTTCTCAAGGTGCACAAACCTGGGGAGACCACACGGGCCAGAGCCCCATCCACAGAGACTTGTTGTCTATCTTTCCATCCTTATATGCAAATACTTACCGAGTCCCTACTACCTGCAAAGCACTGTGCTAGGTGGTCTAAAGCACACTGCCCGGCAGAACCCTGTCCACGTCCACACTCCCCAGCAGAACCGTCCATGTGCGCACTGCCCAGTGTGACAGCCATGTGTCTACCAAGCACTCGAAGTGTGGCTGATGCAACTAAGCACTGGACTTTTAATTTCATTTCATTAAAATTAATTTAAATTTAAATGGGTCCTCACACTTATCTTCTCAGTACCAAAAAGTTGAGAATCACTGTTCTAGTTACTAAGGAAAATGATTTAAAATTTGTAAATTAAAACCAAAAAGTAAGTTTATTATTAACCATTAAAAGGAAAAAAATTATCAACAAAGGTTCATTTCTAGAGCACTTCAATTAACAAGTTTTTCTAAAACTTAAAACAATTTTGTGTGAAAGTCCTAAAAAAATAACACAAATATACCCATTACATGTGTAGAACCTACATAAATGCAAAACTACTAGGGAGCTTTCTGGGACATAATTTGTTTCTCCACTGTCACCTTACCATGACCCTCATCCCTACCACTGCACCACCCAAGAAATGCTGCCCAGCTCTTACCCGCTCCTCTTTGGTGTAGAGTTGGAAACACTGGGATAAAGTGCAAGTTTGAGGCTGATGATGACGCTCCCTTTGCAGACGGACACTTTCTGCATCAGGGATATACTCCTCTTCAGTATTTACAAACAAGCTGCCAATGGGAGACAAAGCATTTATCAGAAAATATCTTGCAAAACTGACACAAAATACAATCACAGCTTCATAACCAAAAAGACCAATGTGTAAGAAAGCAATTTTCAAGGTTCCAAAGTGTTCTTGAAAAATTTTCTATCTATAAAGTTATTTTCAAGAAGAAATAACCTGGAGTTGGTTTTTCTGGGACTGTCCATGAACTGTGCTCATTCATATATTAGCATCCTTTGTTAACTAAGCTCATGCATCTCACGTAACTCACTAGAGTTAATAGGCCTATAATACAAATCAAAGTAATTGGACTTACAATAAAAATATATAATATATATATGAATATACAGCTTCTGTCTCATTAGTAACAAACAACAGAATGTATAGGAGAGAAATTATAAACTACTTAAATAAAAGATTAGCAACACACTGGACACTAAACTGCTAAAAAGAGGAGAGATTTAGGTTTCAGTTAATTTGAAAGATCAAAGATATGGTTTTTTTGTGTTTTTTTTTTTTTTGGTGGTATGTGCTTCTAGCGGGAACCAAACCCAGGACTCTCTGGTCCGCAGGCCGATGCTCAACAGCTAAGCTAAACTGGCCAGGGCAAAGATATGCTTTTTAAATAATTAAAACAATGACTCAATAAATACTAAGTAAAAAATACTCACAAATCTTTTGTCTCCTTGTCCCATTCTACCACTAATTTCACATGAGCAGTGCCACCTGGTCCACAAGATTTTAATGCCCTGTAGGAGAGGGAATGGGGATGGGGAGGGGAGTCACATGTTATTTTCTAAATAAATTATTTTACTTAAATATGATTGTTTTATCTGAAATCTGAAATCATGTGATTTCTAAAAATCTTCGTTTTCCACCAGAAAAAGTTTCTAGGGAGACCATTATAATAACCCCATATATAATAAGTAGTTACATTTGAACTAAAAAAATAAAAACAAAAAAAATCCTTAAATTAAAATGCCCAGTACAGAAATGGAGAGACTAGAAGAACTTCAGAATCTATTATAAGGCTATCCACATTCATTCTTAGATGTTCTTCATGACCTTTCTAACTGTTTGTCCAATTTCTTACCAACCAGTCTCTCTGGGAACAAGGTCTGCTCCTGCACCCCTCCCCACTCCCCATAAACCATGCCTGTCCTTGGACACTGTCCATACCAAACTGGACTTCTGCTAGGTCCTGCTCAAGTTCCACCTCCTTCCTTCATAAAGCCCACTGAGTGCCTTGGCTCATTCCATCTCCTGAGAAACTCAGGAGTAACAGTCAATACTACTCATCTAAGTTTCTTATGCTTTGCAATGTTTTGAAGCATTATCTAATCTATTAACTCTCATCTCTAAAACCAAACAGTGACTCGCCCTGGCCAGTGTGGCTCAGATGGTTGGAGTGTCACCCCACATGAAAAAAGGTGGCAGGTTCAATTCCTGGTGAGGGCACATAACTACATGACAAGTTCAATCAAGTTCAATCCCCAGTCAGTGCGAGTATGGGAGGCAACTGATCAATGTTTCTCTCTCACATCAATGTTTCTCTCTCCCCCCTCCCTTCCTTTAAGATCAATTTTTAAAAACAGATGTTAAGCCCTGGCCAGTTTGGCTCAGCAGTTGCAACCACTTGATGTGTCCCTTTCACATCAGTGTTTCTCTCTCTCTCTCTCTCTCTCTCTCTCTCTCTCTCTGTCTGTCTCTCTGTCTCTCTGTCTCTGTCTCTCCCTCCCATTCTATCTGAACAAAAAATGGAAAAATGTCCTCGAATGAGAAAGAAAAAAAAAGATGTTAAGAAAATAATAACAACAAAACCAAACAGTGACCTTTCAAACAGAACCATGTTGTAGACTTTTGAAATCCTGAAATGCAGGCATTACCACATAAGTTGAAAAAAATCATTATAACAAAAACAGTAACATGAGCTTTTATGTGCTTCATATATGTACAGTGCACATACATGCATAACTCTTATTTTAATACAGTAGAGTGCTGTAATATAAGAAGTATGCAGAAGTCACAGGGGGAGCATAGTGCAGTGACTAACCTGACCACGGGGGGCAGAATGGACGGTGTGAAAAGGGCTCAGAGGAAAATTACTGTCAACACACGCAAAGGCACATGAAATAGTATCGTGTGTCCAAACACTGCTCAGTGCGTGGACACGGCTGAAGGTTTATGATGGTGGATAGAAGAGCAAGGCCTAACAGAGGGAAACAATCAGGGTTCAAACTGAAATAATTCACGCACTGTGGAACCTGTCTTTTACAACACCGGTTACCATGCAAGGATTGCAAGGAGCAGTGGTATGACTGGAACTCTACTTTGGGAAACATCAATCCTGGTGAATATGTAAGTGTCATTTATCAGTAGTCCTGGAACATATAGTAATTTGCTTTCCTAACATGAGTAACTCCAGGCTTTTCTGACTTCAAACAGATCCTAAAACATATTATACCTTAATATGACTCAAAAGTAAAATAAGTACTTAATTTCTAAATAAGCCTAAAGAACCTGCCACACTTGTGTGGAAATTATACCTGACATCACTGGAAATTACATGCGAGCACATGTGAAGTTCTAGGGGATTTTTTTACCTTTCTACTGTTGGGTGGCACAGGGGCTGCTCCTCCTGGGGCAGCAAGTATGTTATTCCCACCACACTGACCACACGCAAGCTGAATGGACACACCTGCATCAAATGGTGAAGAAAAATTAGGCTGGACTTCTCTCCAAGGGCATCTGCTTCACAGTGGTATTTCCAAAGCAGGCTAGAGGGGGAGCAAACTGTGGCAAAATGCTCCTCCATGATGTTCCATTAGCTATTGAGCTTCTGATACACTTTAAATATGATGTTCCCAAATGCAATTTGCACATCAAATATGTTATGCAAGACAGGTAATATGTGGCGTTAGTGGAACATTAAATACAAGTTTCCCGTGGATACCTTACAATGAAATCGTAATTTTGAAAATATACAGAGACATTCTACAAAGTGGAACTTCTCATGTGCTAAACATTATTAGACAAATCTTAGAAAGGGAAACCTTGCAGTCTTTGTCCAATTTCTCACCAACCCAAATAGCAGCTTGCTTCCTAGAATGAGGACTAAGTTCATAGTCTTGAAAATCTGAACACAGCTGACTCTACTGAACAGCTCTGCACCAGGGCTTCCCAACACTTCAGCTCCATGTCCATCTTCCCTAAAGCAAAGGCCTAAACTTCGAATTTCCCTGCAAAGGCCGATTCTTCACTGGTAGACCCATGATGGGCCGGGAGTACCAGAGTGCGTACACACCTGAATGCAAACCGTGGGCCTCAGGAAATATTTCATCTTCTCCAAGATTTCCTTCTGCAGCAAGTCCCAGGCTACTGTCTTCTCCAAGTGCAACACAAAAGGTAGTCCAAACCTAAGACACACAAACATTTCAATCACCCTAAATTACAGCAATTCCTTTAATATTGCAATTCCTTACTCATGACCTTCTTAAATGGAATCGCTATATAATTGGTTTTAGGATTGTTCACAAAACAAACAGGAAATTTAATAGTAAGTCTCATAAGTGGATGAAAAAGTCAGAAGAGAAGCTGAGATTTCCAAATGAAATTTAACAGCTCTTATACCAAAATGGCTTCTGGGGGAGCATGATGCTAGGATATTAGGTAGCAAGAGGACAGGATCAACGGAGATGATGAGAAAAGAAGTTGGGAGTTGTCAGGAGCCTGGCAAACAGCACGGGTCAAACATAAGGGGTTAATGCCAGAGAGCAGACAGGACTGGAAGGTCGAGCAGGCAGGAGGCCCTGCCCTGACAGTCTGACAACAAGAAGGCACTGAAAGGCAGCGCCTCGCCTCAGGGAAAAGCCCCTGCCAGTGCAGGGCTGTCAGGTACTGGGGAATGAAAGGCAGGGCCATGGTTCTCACTGTGGATGCAAGCTGACATCACTGAGGGAGCTGTAAACAAGAAGGCCCAAGTCCAGCCCCCAGAGATCCTGCTGCAGTCACTCTGGTGGGTGGCCTGAGATTTTTTAGAAACTCCCCAGGTGGCTCTAACATGCAGCAAGGTAGAGAACCACTGGCCTGACCTCCATCTCCCCAAGCTCCAGCCATTCAGAGCTCCTTGCTGTGTGCCCTGAATGTGTCCTATTCACACACCCAGGTCTCTGTTCAGCCAATTCCTTCAGCCTGGAAAGCCTTCCCTGCCTTCTTCTAGGCTAGGTCCTACTCACCCACGTCAAGACCAGTGAGGTATGCTTCTGCAGGAAGCACCCTGTCAGTTTGTTCCCTGTCTCTCTGCACCACTGCACTAACACTGCCTGATCATTCTTCTGCCCCCACCGATGCACTGTGAGTTATCTAACAGAAGGAACTGTGATTTACTTATCTTAGTAGCCCAAATCTCAATGCCTAGAAAACGGTAGATGCTTAGTATGTGAATGAATGAATGAATGAATGAATGACGAACGAACAACAAGGAATCAGATAAACCTTGACTCAAGCCAAAGCACAGGTGCTAAGATCACCAAGAAACCCAACTCCTAATAAAAAACAGTTTACACACAGTGGCACCCAACAGTGAACCTATCTGCCTAAAAATGAGTGTGACATGAAATAAGTAACAAGCACGTGTAAACTGTCTGGCCACATTTTTCATGACCATGTCTTCACTTTCAAAAGACTAGCATCCCTTCCCCTGTCTCTTAAACATGCCAAGCTCCTTCTAGGCTCAGCGTCTTTGTACTCGATGTTCCCTCTTCATGAGACGCTGTTCCAGAGGCTCACACAGCTCACCCCGCTCCTCACTCAGGCTCAATGGCTCCCTCCTCAAGAAAGCCCTCCCAGCCCTCCCTTTCTACCGCAATTTGCAGTGTCCCCAACCCCAGTACACGCTATCATCCCAGCCAGTTTTAGAATCTTTCAAAGTGGAAAGGACTGCAGTCAAATGTGTTCCCTTGTTTACAGCCACTCTGTCCTAATTAGGGTGTAAGCCTCACTCAAAGGCAGATCCTGACTGACAGCTTCTGTAGCCTAAGTGCTTAGAACAGTGCCCAACATACTGTGAATGCTCAAGTATTTGTTCATGAACATCATAACTACACAAATCAACACATTTTGCCCTTACATTATTTACCATCTTTAAAAAAAAAAAAAAAAACTTATTTCAAAGCAACATTGTAAAAAAGGCTAATATAAAGGCTACCCTGACAAATATTAGAAATACCAAGTCCCTTCTTCCCTAAACAAATCCACGTCTTGCTTGTTATCACTCAGGTAACATCACTACTGTGATAAGGTTACTTTAAAACAGTCTGGTCCAGCCACTGTGACTCAGTGAATTGAGTGTCAGCCCATGGACTGAGAAACCCTGGTTCAATTCCTGGTCTCGGTACATGCCCGAGTTGTGGGCTCAATCCCCAGTAGGGGGCGTGCAGGAGGCAGCCAATCGATGTTTCTCTTTCATATAGATGTTTCTCTCTCTCTCCCCCTCTTAAAAATCAATAAAAACCTACTTTTAAAAAAGACAGCCTGAAACTTCCACAGGTTCTCACAGAGGGAAACAGACATGCGAGATTTCCAATTCCTGACTTTCTGGCTTATGCCGCTGAGTGAAGAGAGGTCCCACTGCTGAGACAGGAAACACTGGAGGGCCAGGAGTGCAGGGAGAGAGAAGGAGCTCAGTTTGGAGCCTAATATTTGTTAAGATTTTTTTTAAGCTGTTATGAAAGTAGCTGGATATAGGTGTATAGGTTTGGGCCGCAAGAGCTGGAAATAGACATGTGACAGGAGGCTTTAAAACTACTTGAGTTTGCCCTGGATGGTTTGGCTCAGTGGTTGGAGCATCGGCCTGCGAACCAGAGACTCCTGGGTTCAGTTCCCGCTGGGGGCACACACCCAAAAAAAAAACTACCCAATTTTATAATTCTCCCTGCCAATCCCTCAAATCAGATCAGATTAGACACATATTCTTTCTAAGTATCAGAATCAAAAACTTACTACTATAAGTATGGATGTTTTTACCCCTACTTTTGAAACATCTGAAAATATTAGACTTTTCAAAGCCTCCATAGTTATTGGAAAGTGAGCTGTTGCACCTTTTCCCTTGCTGCCCGGTGCAGGCACGGTTGCACACTAACAGGACAATCTTGTCGCTCCCTGCTCTCGCCACAGGCAGGTCCATTTTCCCTTGCTTTGCTGCTGCGTGTGCAGAAGACAGTCTATGATGGTCCAAGCCAAATGTTAAGTGGTTCAGATTGTTGTTTAAGTGGATTCCTGAAATAAAATAAAAAACAACTTACTTCATCTCTTTAAAATTCTTTTCATTCATTCATTACAAAGTAATTTACCCAATAGAGAAATTAAGAAGTTGTCATTATATAATTTAAACTACAACTGAAAGAAGGAACAAATGATCTGCTTTGAGATGACTCCTCTAGCCACTCAGATCATTTCTTTAGCATTATTATTTAAACTGGCCTTACCTGTCAGAAACTGACTATTAAACCTCCAGTGTGAGAAGGGCAAGTCTGCAGAGATTATTTGCCACAACAAATGTAAAGTGTGGCCACACAACCAACAACCCAATAAACTTTATTAAAAGTAAAAAATAGCCAGCCAGCGTGGCTCAGTGGTTGAGCATCAACCCATGCACCAAGAGGTTGCCGGTTCAATTTCTGGTCAGGGCACATGCCCAGATTGTGGGCCTGATTCCCAGTGGGAGGCATGCAGGAGGCGACCCATCGATGTTCTCTTTCATCAATGTTTCTATCTCTCTCTCCCTCTCCCTTCCTCACTCTCTAAAATCAATAAAGAAAAAAAAATTTTTTTCAAGTAAAAAATAAAGGCTAATACTGTACAAGTGAAATGATCTTCAACATTCCAATGCCATTTCTTCTCCCTGATTTAAGAGCCAGACTTGTAAAAAACCACATCTGCCCTGGCCAGGTGGCTCAGTTGGTTGGAGCATCATCCCATACACCAAAGAGTTTACAGGTTTGATCCCCAGGCAGAGTGCATGAGGGAGGCAACTGATCGATGTTTCTCTCTTACACTGATGTTTCGCTCTTTTCCCCTTCCTCTCTCTCTAAAAACTAAATATATATATACATATATATACACATATATATGTGTGTATATATATATTTATATCTCCTAGGGTGATGATTTAAAAAAAAAATTACTCTTAACTAGAATCACAGCCACTACAGAACTTCAATACAATCGCCTAAACTGCATCAACCTATATTCAAGTGAACAAAGATACGCATCAACCTATATTCAAGTGAACAAAGATACGTGTTTGGTAGGCACTATACTGACTGATGAAAGCAAGGTCTTCAGAACTGTCCCAAAACAGAGCTATCTGTCAATCAGAGGCACTCAGCAATTCAGCACCAAGCAACAGACCCTGAACTCAGTAGGGACTCAATAAATGCTGACTAAATAACTGTTAATTTCTATAATCCTTTGAAAGTACTGCCTAAGGAAAGATAATCCAACTGAAAAACGAAGCCCTCCACCACCATGACCACCCAAAATATAATAATAACAACACCAGAAGGAGAATAAAATAAAGTGTTTACACAAAAGTATTCATAGCAGAAATCTGCAATAACCTAAATATCCAGTAATACAAGAATGCTGAAACCTATGAAAGTACATCAGCATTAGAGTAATTTAAAATGACAAATACATAGCCCTGGTAGGGCGGCTCAGTTGGTTGGAGCATCATCCCATACACAAAGAGGCTGCAGGTTCAATCCCAAGTTGGGGCACATACAGGAGGCAACAGATCAATGTCTCTCTCTCACATCAATGTTTCTCTCCCTCCCCTCCTCTCTCTCTAAACATCAATAAAAACATATTCTCAGGTGAGGATTAAAAATGATGACTACATATTCCAAAATGGCATCAGAGTGAATGGAAGTTACACAGACCATCTCCCAGGACCAACCTGGAATTACAACTAAAATAAAGACAAGTCGTCAGAAAAAAGCAACAGAAAAACAGCTGGAGAGGACCATATAACCAGGGACAGGAAAAAAAGACACTGAATTGAGCCTAGTAGGTCGCAGAGGAACGAGAAAGCGGGCTGGAAGCCACGGACAGCAGCTGTTTTAGCTGTGAGCAGCTCCCTCTGGGCTAAAATCCCAAGCCAGCTCCACAGCACAGAGGGCTGGGACGGAGCACTAAATTAGCTACAGCCACTCACCTTGGGCTCTGGCAGAAGGAGAGCAGACTGGACTGGAACTCTGTGGGGACACCCGAGATTTGGAGGGTGCTCAGAGTTTTTGCTGAGTCGTGGCCACACAGGAAGGTGGCCATGTTACTCCTTCCTGGACCTCTGTGGGAAGCAGTAGCCCCTCCCTCGGAGATTTAACCCCAGCCAGCTGAGCCAGAGAAATGCAAACTGAGGCTCATTAACAGCCATCATCTGCCCCACTCTCTGGAAATCCTCTTATGCTGAACACCTGAGGGACTTTTTCATTCAGCTGAGGGCTACAACCCAAGGCTCATCAAGTAACTGAGACTAATGGCCTCCAGGAAAAAAGCTAGAGGATAACTGAACCTTTCCTGGACTTGCAAAACTAACCAGGAAAGTAAGACTTGACAGTGGTGTTTAAAGTGGGTCCTCCCACGCTCATCCAAACCCAGTAGAGGGAGCCACAAACAGAATACCATCACCTGCAGGGAAAATATGGCAGGCTACAAAACCCACTGAGATAGTCAAAATGATGAAACAAAGAAACAAATCCGAAATGAAAGAATAAAAGAACTCTATTGAAGATGAGATTAATGAAATACAGTTAAGCAAGTTATCAGAGGTAGAGTTCAGAGCCATGATCTTGAGGAAGCTCAACAGCATGAGTAAAGATATAGAAACACTGAAAACCAAGAAAGTGAAAATAAAGAATGGCATCGCAGAAATAAAGAACACACTGGAAGGAATAATCAGCAGAGTAGAGGAAGCTGAGGACTGGATCAGTGAATTAGAAAACAGGATAGAAAAAAATCAACCAATCAGAAAACCAAAAGGAAAAAACAGGAAGACAGCTTAAGAGAACGGTGGGACAACTGTAAACGTAACAACATCTTAATCATAGGAGTTCCAGAAAAAGAAGAAAATGAACAAGGGTTAGAGAATATATTTGAAGAAATAGTGACAGAAAACTTCCGTAACGTGGTGAAGAAAGACGACATTCAAGTTCAAGAAGCACAGGGAGCCCCAAGTAAGAACCCAAACAGGCCCACACCAAGACACATAGTAATTAAAATACCAAAAATTAAAGACAAAGAGAGAATCCTAAAGGCAGCAAGAGAAAAGCAACAGGTTACCTACAAAGAAACACCAATTAGGGTATCAGCTGACTTCTCAACAGAAACACTACAGGCCAGAAGGGAATAAATAGCATGAGTAATCAAGGTCATGAATAACAAGGATCTGAATCCAAGACTACTCTACCCAGCAAGGCTATCATTCAAAATAGAAGGTCAAATAACTTCCCAGACAAAAAAAAAAAAAGGCTAAGGAAATATATTAGCACCAAACAGCACTGCAAAAAATGTTAAAAGGACTACTATAATTAGTAGAAATAGGAAGAAAAATATAACCACAATAAGCCAAAATGGCAATAAATAAGTACATATCAATAATAACCTTAAATGTAAATAGACTGAATACACCGATCAAAAGATACAGAGTAGCTGATTGGATAAGAAAGCATGACTCATATATATATGTTGTTTACAAGAGACCCATCTCACAACAAAAGACTCACATAGGTTGAAAGTGAAAGGATGGAAAAAAATCTTCCAAGCAAACGGAAAGGGAAAAAAAGCTGGGATAGCAATACTCATATCTCATAAAGTAGATCTAAAAATGAAGGCCATAACTAGAGACAAAAAAAGGCCACTGCATAATATTGAAAGGATCTATCCAACAGGAAGATATAACCTTGAGAAACATATATGCACCCAATATAGGAGCACCAAAATATATTTCAAATCTTCTGGAGGACTTCAAAAGAGAAATCGACAGCAATACAACCATAGCAGGGGACTTCAATACCCTGCTGACATCACTGCATAGATCCTCTAGACAAAAAATTAACAAGGAAAGAAAGACTCTAAATGAAGCACTAGATCAAATGGATTTAATAGATATCTACAGAGAATTACACCCCCAAAACTACAGAATTCACATTCTTCTCAAGTGCACATAGGACATTCTCAAAGATAGACCAGTCTCTATAAGTTCAAGAAGACTAAAATCACATCAAGCATCTTCTCAGATCACAATGGCATGAAACTAGAAATCAACTGCAACAAGAATATGCAAAGACATTTGAACACATGGAGGCTACACAGCACGTTACTAAACACTGAATGGGTTACCAAGGAGATCAAGGAAGAAATTCAAAACTTCCTGGAAACCAATGAAAATAAACACACAACAACACAAAATCTATGGAATGCACCAAAAGCAGTTCTGAGAGGAAAGCTCATAGCACTACAGGCCTTCCTCAAGAAACAAGAAAAATTTCTAATTGACTACCTAACCGCACAACTTAAAGAACTAGAAAGCAAACAAAAAAGAAAATCCCAGAGCAAACAGAAGAAAGGAAATAGTAAAGATCAGAGCAGAAATAAATGACACAGAGACCAAAAGAATAATTCAAAGGATCAATGAAATAAAGAGCTGGTTTTGAGAAAAGATAAACAAGACTGATGGACCCTTAACTAGACTCACCATGAACAAAGAGAGAGAACCCAAATACACAAAATCAGAAATGAAAGAGGAGAAGTAACAACTGACACCACAGAAATACAAAGGATCATTAACATATACTATGAACAATTATATGGCAACAAATTGGACAATCTAAGCAAAATGGACAAATTTCTAGAAACACACAGTCTCCCAAAACTGAACCGGGAAGAGATAAAAAACTTGAACAGACTAATAAAACTAAGGAAATTGAAGATGTAATCAAGACTCTCCCTCCAAACAAAATCCCAGGCCCAGATGGCTTCACAGGGGAGTTTTACTGAACATTCAAAGAAGAACACACACCTATTCTCCTCAAACTATTCCAAAAATTCAAGAAGAAGGAAGCCTTCCAAATTCATTTTATGACGCCAGCATAATTCTAATTCCAAAACCAAAAAAAGACATTACAAAGAAAGAAAACTACAGGCCAATATCCCTGATAAATATAGCAAATCAGATACAACAATACATCAAAAAAATTATTCACCATGACCAAGTGGGA